GGAGGGGGTGTGGGGGAGGGCGGAGCCCCAAGGTTCCCCGCCGAGGGACGTGCCGACACCGGTGGGTACCCCAAGGGTGGGCCCCCCCACTGAAGAGATCATCAAAGTCGTGGCAGGCAAGTTCAGGGGCCCCCCCTGATACCAGCCGGGGTAACCTCCGGGGTACCTTTCCAGAGTCAGGGCACACAAAGCCTGGGGCTCGGGCAAAGGCGGCGCGCGAACACCTGGTAGAGCGGAGGCGGGTACACATGGTTAACACAGGCCCAGAAGGGTACAAGAAAATCACCCCCACAAAAAATCATCTAAATTAGTTACCTCAGCAGAGTCCCCTGAGACAGAGTTGTCCACGCTCTCCATAGGCGGTTCTGATAAGGACTGCTTGAGTTCTGTCATGGTCCCTGGTCTTGTTTTGGTAGACTTGGCATCCAGCTCGTGCTGCTGAATCTCCTCCATGTCTGCCCCGCATGTATGAGCACAGTCTCAGACAAACAGAGGGCTCACTTGGGAAAGCAGATAGACCTGGTAGGCTTGCAGCCTAAATCCCACCCCCTCTTCTCACTCCAAGTGGTTCAGCGTCGTTCTTGGGGGGGGGGGTCTGAAGCCCCCCCCAATTGGTCAGGGGTGGTGAGGCAGGTTGTTGGAGGGGTCACACCACCCCACTGCCACCCCATAGGCCATGCTAGAGCAGGCTGGGACCTGATAGGTCGTAACTGTACCACGTGATCTAGGGCGGTTCCTGGAGCATGAGTGGTTGGGCTTTGGGGGTCTGCATGGGCTGTCCTTCTGATGTCATGGACCATGGGGTGGTGGTAGCGTCACACGTGACTGGGGTGGGGGCGGGGTTGCTGATGTCACACACCATGAGACTGGGGTCAGGGGGCAGGGCTGGTGACATCATGTACCACATGAGTGGGGTCAAGGGGGCGGGGCTGGTGATGTCATACCATATAAGGGGGTGGGTCTAGGGGGAGCGGCACTTCTGGTCCCACCCACTTGTCACATTTGCATTGAAGGGTGGTGAGCCTATATACTATTGCTGTCATATATCCTAGAAGTACCTGGAAACAGACACTGCCATACTTCTTGGCTTAGAGTTAGAGCCACTGAACAGTTTTCATTGAAACAGCTTTTTTTAAATTTACAGTGGTGTTTTACTTAAATTGAACTATTTGTGGAAAAATATAATTCAAATTTAGCTTTTTTTCCATGAAAAAAATGGGAAACTGGATGTTTTCAGGTGTGGTAATTTTTGTTTCAGCTTCCCTTTTTTATGAAAAATTATTGTTTTGATTTCTGGAAAAGTTATTTAAAGTATTTTGTCAGAAAGAAAAAAAACCACACTGAAAATGGTATTCAAGATCTGAAACATTTTTCAGATTGTTTCTTTGTTGAAAAGGTCGAGTTTCTTCAGGAGGAGAAATACAGAGGGAGGAAAGAAACATTTTTTGACATTTCCTATGAATAACAGCTGACAATATTCCAACCAGCATTGCACAGCTGGGCAGCGCCTCAGGACAGAAAATAAATGTTTGTTGTGTGCCTCTAGAGCACTGACAAAGTGGAGTCCTGATCCTTCATTAGGGCCTATTGCCACAACCACATTTAAAATATGAAAACAATGATCCATCTTCCGCCCATGAGTGCCAACAAGACACATGTCTATACACCAGCGTTTCATATCACGGGACCATTTCCATGGTAGTCATACCCAGAGTCATGAAGGGAAGAGCTTATATTTCTATTCCTAAATAAAGTACACTGATCTCTCTCTAAGGCAACCTAACAGCACATTGTGATACACTTGTCCTAGCAGCAGCAGTATGTTTCAAGAGTATAAAGTGCCTAAGCATGCAAGTAGTTACTTTCCTTCTTCCTAGGCTGAAGAAACCCATCACACACATGCCTGCTAATGCATCAAAGGCTGGGAATAGAAGCACATTGATCAATGTCTGAGCATCCACAGCAACTAGTGGTGAAGGGTCATTTATCTGAAACACAGACACTGTGGGCATTTGGAAATTAGGATCCAAACCAGTCTCCAAAGCCAAAACCTAGGCAAATTTTGCAGTCCCAGCATTGCCTGTCTCAAACAGCTGTACCTGTGTTCCTAAGAAGCCCATGGCATCTCTCCCCCAGGTAGGAGGAAAGAAAACTGCCTTTCTGTGTTAATATGTCAGTTTAGAAACTGACATTTTGGGGCTTGCGGTTGTAATGTCTTTGGTGGGTGTCTGATGGTGGGGGAATACAGAAGAGATCTCAGAATTCATGTTCTCACCCTCTGCCTTCTCTCTTGTCTGGTAGTGTTGATCACTCACCATTTGGATGACGGAGACTGGGCCGATGCTGTTCACGTAGATGTCCACATCAATGAATGTAGGCTTGACTGGAAAGAGAACAAAATGGACATGGGTGAGCCAGGGGCTGGGGTTCACAGGAAGGGAAGCAGCCAGAAAGCAGAATGAGGGAAACCTGCAGGTTCAAGCAAGTCTGCCAACATAAAAGTGGCTGGAATGAAGGCCAGGAGCATTATGAGTTCCAGACCTGGAGCATGGATTCTAGGCATTCTGGATCATTACCTTGAAAATATTCCTGTTGCAAGGAATGGACTACAGTGAACAACTCACTGCTAGGGTTCCTTTCACTGCTAGTACCATGTACAACTGTGAGGAATCTCACAGCACTGGAGGCCCCTGATTGCTACTGGCTAGGCACTATTCTGAGGAAGTTTATAGTCCTAGTTGGATTAAAGAGAATGCTGCTTGGAAGTGATAATTAAGATCATTCTCTTCTCCTTCCGCCCAGACCAGACAGCTGGTAGCTCTTTCCTGCATCTTAGAGATACACAAAAGACTGGAGGCAGAGGCCCTGAGGAGACACTTACTGCCGATGTCAGGTCTCAGTTTGTTGTCATAGTTCTTCAGCAGTGAGTTGAGGATTTGTGTGGCGTCTGTCTCCTGGGCTTTGGGAGTCAGGACCCAGGTTTTATTGACACTCAGGTAATCATAGTCATATTCCTCTGTGCTTTCTGACCTGAAGTAAGCAGATGAAAAATAAGGAAGGCATTACCTGGACCCCAAGCATTTTCTACCCTATACAACAACATAGGTCTCAACAGCCTTGCAAGGTTTTGTCTCAGAGAAATGCACCTATAGCTAGTAAGGCAGTAGACTCCACAAGGGGGTAGGTTGAGGCATTTATACAAGTGAGAGGGCAGGAATCTTTTTTTATTTCCCACAGATGCATTCCCCAGACACTTCTAAGCATATGGGCCCTGACTGTTGCTAAGGCCATCTGAGGCATGAGCCTCTGCAATGGAGGACATGGAGACAGCAGGGTTAAGTAAGGCTCCTTTCCAGCTATCAGAAGACCTGGGTACCAGAAGGAGAGCACCATGCCTTCTCTTGGAGCTTCTTTTGGAGCAATATCACTTATTTCTGTCCCAAATATCAGCCTGTACCTAACAAAGAGCAATCCTGCCCTTGTTAAGAAGTGTTATCACAGTTACTGGATGAACTGGACCTCTGAACTATTCTGTCAAGTGTGCTCCCTTTGAGATATCTAGCTTCACTCGCCTCTAGGTAGAATTACACAGTTCTCCCATTACTGTGTTTAACACTGCAGAGCTGTAGTACTAACCTTTACTTCCTCACTAGGTCTGACCTTTCAGCTCTTTTCCCTCTGAGAAAAGCCGCAGTAGTTAACAGAGTGACAGGATGGCCCCTAGTACTAATCAAACTACTATTCATTAGAACAAAAGCATTTACGAGAAAGCAGACCTTATAAAAATAAAACAGACTATATACTTGTTTAGCTTACCAGGTATCTTCCACATGGGGAGCCTCCAGAAACCCCCTTCTTATATGCTTAAAGAAACCCCCTTATCAGAAAATCCTTACTGGCATAATCCTTTTTTTTTTTTTTTTTAATTCAAACTTTTTTTAACCTAGCTATAAACAGCCCCCATGCTGTAAAAGCTGTTTAGCTTTTTTTATTTCCACTTTTCCAGCCTGGCAATTTCAGCTTTCATCCTCCTTGGAGACAGTACCCTTGAGCTAATAACTTGCCCTGCTCTTACAGGTGTGGGCTGAAGTGTTCTTATCTAGCTCTATTGTGTTGCCTTCTTGTTTGCTCTTTCTTCAGCTCCTTATTCAATTAAATCAGCATAGTCACACAGGAAATTCTAATAACCCACCACTGTTATAGAATAACTTTACCTTACTGACCAGGTCACTTACAATATTGATACCATAATTAAATATCACAATTCATGGATCAACAAAAAGCAATTCAACATTCATCACACATGCCCCTCTAAATTTGTCATGTCAGTATGTCAACTCTCCCCAGGGCTGGAGAGAACTTCTCTGTGAGAACTGCCATTGTGCTGATACATCTCAGCTGGAGCCCTGTAATGATGTGGAAAGAGGCTCTGGAATGCAGATCTCTTTTCAATATATAGGGAGGCTGAGACTGGCAAAGGAACTAGAAGGGATATGCTATTCATTTGATATGTTGCAGTTAATTTATCAGTCGGCACATCTACAGGTGTGCCCAACTGCACAGTAAGCGGCATTATTGAGCAGTCCCAGCGGTGCACAGGTTGTTTCCAACCCTGCAAAGTTGCGATGAGCTACTGCGCAGTAGCTTGTTGCTGTTCATAGATTCATAGATTCATAGACATTAGGGCTGGAAGGCACCTCGGAAGATCATCAAGTCCAGCCCCCTGCCCAAAGGGCAGGAAGTCAGCTGGGGTCATAGGATCCCAGCAAGATAAGCATCCAGTTTCGTCTTGAAGGTGTTCAATGAAGGCGCTTGAACCACCTCCGGTGGCAGGCTGTTCCAGACCTTGGGGGCTCGGACAGTAAAGAAATTCTTCCTTATGTCCAGCCTGAAACGATCTTGAAGTAGTTTGTGACCATTCGACCTCGTCATCCCTTGGGGCGCTCTGGTGAACAAACGTTCCCCCAGATACTGGTGGTCACCCCTGATAAACTTATAGGTGGCCATCAGATCACCCCTGAGCCTGCGCTTTTCCAGGCTAAAGAGCCCCAGGGCTCTCAGCCTGTCATCGTAGGGTCTGCTTCCCTGACCTCTGATCATGCGCGTGGCTCTTCTCTGGACTCTCTCAAGCTTCTCCACATCCTTTTTGAATTGTGGAGCCCAAAACTGGACACAGTACTCCAGCTGCGGCCTCACTAAGGCCGAGTACAGGGGGAGAATGACGTCCCGGGATTTGCTTGAGAAGCATCTATGGATACAAGCCAGC